AAGCATCTGGCTTTCAGATCTAAACATCGCCTTGCGTGTAAAGGATCGTGTTCATTTTGTCTGTCAGGTGCGTCTGAAAGGGTTCTCATTGGCTTGCTTGTCTAGAAGTGCCTCTTCGAAGATGTTCTGTCCTGAGGGATACAGAGCAGCTGGGAAAGATGCGCCAGGTCAACTTGATTCCCAAGCACCTGAAGAGCAAGGATGAGGTGGAGGGTGAATGATGTATCAGAAATACGCACCTGTTATTAGTCTAGCTACGTTTCAAGAACCACCGTGGGCACAAAACGCGATGCAGCTGTTACATGTCAGCTCGAGAGAGTCTCCGCAAGCTGCGGCAACAGAAGCGCAGCACGTAGGCGCAGGAGACTGGGATCTGGTCAGTGGGAATGGAAGAAAACACTGTGGGAATGACTCCGAGTTTGTGTTCCGGCACTGCTGGTGGTTTGTCCTCCCGACTGACCGGAGTCACGGGTGTGGCGACTGAGCAGTCACATCTCCTGGTATATAGAATGGCCCTTGAGGCCGCTCAAAAAGTCCAGTACTTTCGCAAAGCAGCAGCACGCGTTCTCAACGTGCCAGTGCTGGAGAATGAATTCAGGGACCTTTGCCCGCGCGGCTTCCTTGCGTAGCATCGGTTGTAGCTGCTTCGCCCACCGAAGCCACAACTGGGGTGGAAACGTCGCCGGAAAAGGATCACACCCCACAAGCATGGACCTTTGGTCCAGCAGCGCCAGGACTCGCGTGGCCCCACCGGTTTTCGGCATCGAAGGAACAATCAAGTACCTGCGCGCAAAAGCATCCTCGTCCAGCCACAAGGTGCACATTTCACGTGTGCGATCTCGCAAGACCTTGTCGCACAATCCTCCCCGAGGAAATCCTTGGGAGGGCCGGTGTGAACATGTCCGTGTCCAACCGCCAGCCGTAGCGCAGAAATCTGACCACATCCGTCGAGTCTTCTCAAAACCAGCTAGGTTCATGGGTCGGAATCCGCAGTGGCAAGCCTCACCCCAAGAAAGCCCTTTGCTCTGAGCTTTGTCTAAGATACTGAGACCCAACTGCTCCAAGGTCGTCGCTTCCCACGTGGACAAGCAGCCGCAGAGAAGACGATCATCGGCGTCCCCTGCAGCTGGCATACTGCTGTCGGCAGCCGCGTCATGCCGGTACATTGCACGTTCGCCCTCGATGTCCCATTCCTGCCCCTCGGCTGTCTGTCCGCGAACCCTCGGTCTTCCCTTCGTAGTCTCCCAGACCATAGCATCATCGTGCGCAAGCAACAACTCTTCAGTCCAATGGTCCTCCGCAGGAGAGAGGGCGCCCAGCTCATTGCGAATAAGCTCGCCTGAGTCAATGGCTCGTGGAATGAGAACAGGTTGATAGGGTTGCACCATACATGCGGAAGTCTCTCTAGTCTCGAGGCGGAGAAAAAAAGCCTACAAAACCATCTAGCGCCAGCTGCAGAGAATAGATATAGTATGCAACTGAGCGACAAAGCCCTCGGCCTCCGGTCAAAACACCAAAAGCAGCAGCCCGTGTAATGAAAGCACCGCGCAGTGGCACACTCTTACCGGTACCATATTTACGGGCAAAAAGCGCAAGCAAGCCCGCCCCTGCATAGCGCATACGAAAACTTCCACGATCCCACCGATTATCTATGTTGCATAGGCGCACCGCACGCACAGCCGCAATGAGGTCTGCGGTAGTCCATGTGCGCACATACGCGCTGGACACCTTACCTTGGCACATGGAAGACAGACGACCGTCCGGGGATAGCATAGCAAAGACTAGAAGAATCGAGGGGAAAAAATCTGGCGAGACAGGCGAAGCTCGGCGCAGCCATGTGAGTTAGCGTCAAAAGTATATAGTTGGAGTAGTCTCGTTTCACCGGGGCGAGTGCCCTATCGGATTCCATGGTTTGGATTGTGCAGTATGCATGGACAGGGGTATGGTTTGTTGTCAATCCCCGAGGGGTTTTCACGGAAAAGCACAAAAACAACGCAGAGATGAATCGCCCCGTACTAAGGTCAGTGGTAATAGGTTGGCGGCTGCTCACGTGAGCGCGCTCCTCGCTAAGAAGACAACTCTAGAAGGCTCGGTGCCGGCAAAGTTCTGGAGCGCTTCCTCTACCTGCGCAGCCGTCCGCGCAATCTCCCGTGCCAGGATGTAGTGCACTAGCATGAGACATACGGACTGAACCTGAACTGCATCGGCGCGGTCGGCAGACGACGGTCGATTCAGCTCCTGCACAACAACGGACACGCGAAGCATGGGGTGTTCCCTAGAAGAATCGGTACTGTGCCAGTTGGAAAAAGCAAACTGAACGCCAAGAACACCCAGCGACGTTGAGATGCCCCACAACAAAGAAAGCTTTACGCAGATCAATGGCGTGGCTTCCTCGGACACGTAGCGTGAGGCGCGCCAAATCCTCGGGTTGGAACTCCTGGAATGGCTCAAAGTGAGTCCACAACTCTGGAGGTGAAGGCGTCTTCTTGCCAAACAAGTCCAAGCAAGCCTGAAAGGGGGTCTTGAACTTCGTGCCAACCGGGTGCCCCTGCTTGAGCACAGGTTTGAGTGTCTTCTTCGGGGCCATGGCTCAGTGGTTCCTGCACATGGTAGAACCTCACTACAGTACGTCACAGCATTGTCAGGTGCCGTTTCACAATTTGTATGACGCAACTTGACACATCAAGGCCTCTGTGTGGGATGGCGAGGTGAGAACAGCCAAAGGATCCAACAAGGATCATGCTCGGTTTTACTGGTGTATACGGCTCCCTGGAGGAGATCCCAAGCATCCAAGCATCCAAGCAGTCCAAGTCAGAGTTCAACAAATATCCTCTTATGGCCCCAAAACTTAGAGATACCCCAAATCAATCGCTCGTTGTCGAAAAAAAAAAAGGATCTGTTGGCACAACGCCTTCGAGAAAGCGATAAAGCAACGAGATGTTGTGGGCAGTATCGCATCGCGAAAGACGGG